ATTTATAACCCCTTGCCCTTTGATCACAGCCGTTCATTTTGTTTTAATCTGGGCCGTTCGTTTTTGATTGAATCTGGGCCGTCCGTGCGATTGAATCTGGGCCGTCCGATCGCGTGATTGATCTGGGCCGTCGGATCGCACCCACGCGGATCGCCAACGTGGCTCCTTTCGGAGTGACGCGATCTTGCCACGTGTCAGGCCCTGGTTGGCCGGGACTGCTGACGTGGCTGCTGACGCGGCTGCTGACGTGGCCCCCCCCTTTTTTTTTTTTTTTTTTTTTTTTTTTTTTTTTTTATTTTAATATTTTTGTTTATTCCTCCTCCTTTCCGGGTGCTACAACTCTCCCCCCCATAAAGAAATTTGGTCCCCAAATTTGCCTCATTACTCTTGATCAAACAGATGAGGATATTGGGCCCTAAATTCTGATTCCAGCTCCCAAGTCGCCTCCCTAGGTGTGTGGTTCTGCCACAAGACTTTTACAAATGATATTTCCCGGTTACGGAGTATTCTGCTTTCTCGGTCTGTGATACTGACCGGTACTTCTTCATAAGACAAGTCCTCTCGGAGTGAAAGCGGTTCATGAGCCACGACATGAGAAGGGTCCGGATTGTACTTGCGCAGCATAGATACATGAAACACATTGTGAACCCGGGAGAGCTCAGGGGGCAGTGCAAGTCTGTAGGCAGTGGTACCAATCTTGTCTAAGATTTCAAAGGGTCCAATGTATCTGGGGTTTAATTTTCCCCTTCTGCCGAACCTACTAATTCCCTTGAAGGGGGTGACTTTAAGAAACACACGGTCACCTTTCTCAAAGGCCAGGTCTCTCCTCCGGGTATCAGCATAGCTCTTTTGCCTACTCTGAGCTGTCTGGATGTTCTTCTTGATCTTAACTATCTTGGACGTGGTTTCTTCCACCAAATCCGGGCCAAACAATCTTCTATCGCCCACTTCCTCCCAACAAATCGGTGACCTGCACGGACGCCCGTATAGCGCCTCGTATGGGGCCATGCCGATGCTTGCTTGGTAACTGT